CCGATGGGACGTTCTCTCTGAGTATGTGCTCTCAGCAGCCCCAGTGGCCTTCAGACGTCTCCCTTCACCCTGCCTCCACCCTTTTGTCTGCAGGATGTTGGGGGTGGGAGCAGGCAATGTCCCAGCAAGAGGTGGAGTGACGTCTCCAAGGGGCAGGCTGCCTGAACACAGGAGCACAATAAAATCCTCGCTGTGTGTCTTTGTACAAGTCACACATCCTCTCTGGGTGCTGATTTTCCCAACAGTTCTGGCTTTTTGTGAATAAAGAAGACAAAGAGGAGGAAGAAGAAGGCACGTGTAAGAAGGAAGATAGTGCCAGAAGGCACTTCTCTGGCGCAGAAATGTCAGGTCTTAAAAAGAAAGACAGCAGCATGGAGACTTAGTGAGCCCTTGAGAATACTGACTTGGAGTTGCCCCCCAACTCTGTGGTCTTAAGAAAAAAGTAAGTCTTAGGCACCACTTCTGAGAAATGAAGGTAATGCCACTGCCCAGCTGCCTTGCATCACGGAATGCTGTGAAATTCAAATCAACGCAGGGGTGAAGAGGGGCATGGGTTCTCAGCAGTTTCTGCACAGTTCTTTGGGGGGGCCTTTGCCTCTTCCCTGGCCTCTTCCTATTCTCTGGCCCTGCTGAGAGTGGGACTCTCGGGCTGTGAAGTAGCCTGCACACCTTGCCTTGCCCTCCGAGGGCAAAGTGTCTGCGAGCACTGACCCTGGTGGTGACGGGGGCATGGTGCCATTAGCCTGAGCGCTGACCAGGCCTGATTCTGGCCGAGCTGTGCCTGAGGAATGTGGACAGAAGCTGCCCTTATTCAGCCTCGTCACATTCCCCTTGGACATTAGCAAGGCCCCCCCGCTCACAGCTCCTACCATTGACCTTTTCATCCGACCAAGAGAGATGACGTACTGACCCAGCCTCCCCCACTCTTGATATTTTTCTTGCCCCTCTCAATGGAAAGATTGTGGGGTTATTTCCTGAAAAGTGAGTGGGGTGCACGTGGCTGGGTTGAATGACATTCTCCTACGGTGGAAAAACTGATGACATTTAAGGCCTCACATGCTTTAGGCAAGGCAGCAAAGGAATGAATGAACAGATCATATGTCTATCTGGGGAGAGAGCCATCCCGGCAGCAGGAAGCACGGGGCAAAGCCTCCTGAGGCAGGAATGCAGCTCATCGCCTCCCCCAAATCTTTCCATATAGCATCACCGGAATACAGTCACCAGTTGACATTGATACAAAAATATTACCTAAAATTAGAGCATGTTCAGATTTTGCCAGGAGCCAATCCAGCATTCCACTTTGCAGTACTTGTCACATCTCCTTCTCCCCAGTTCCTCAATCTGCAACAATTTGCAAATGGCCTTGCGGTCTTTTTAATGACCTTGACACTTTTAAAGAACAGCTGCCACTTAGTTTGTAAATATATCTCTCAATTTGGGGTTTGCTCAAATTTTCTCATGAGGAGAGTAAAGTCATGCATTTTTGGCAAAAATGATGTCCATTTGTCTTAGGTCTGGGGCTGGCAACCCGGATCACTCAATAAGGAGGTGTTTGCCAGATTTCTCCAGTATAAAGGTGTTTATTCTTCCCTTTGTAATTACTATCTTATGCGGAAATACTGTACATTTTCATTCCCTGACTTTAGTATCCGTCCATGATTCTTGCTTGTAACAATGATTAGTGTAGTAGGACAACTGCAAAGGTGTAACTATTACAACAATGTGGGCGAGGTTTCCTCCGTAAGTGTGTGCAGCGGGGAGATGGTGAGATTAGTTGAACAAGGCTTCCCGTGGAGGCACGTTTTAAGCTAAGTTCCTACTTTTAAGAGTTCAGATACTAATATATTTGGGTAAATCATATCATCAATCAAAAATGATTTCATTCTTGTCAAAAGTGTCTCATTACTTTCCAGACATGGATGTGTTTGCATCTTAGAAATTTTTGTTATTGTAATTTGTAAATTTCTGCACCCAGGTTCAGTTTAGAAGAGGATTCTTTCTGAATGACTTCCAAGGAATCACCTTTAAGAATTCATGGTGCAGAAAGAATGGGTAAGATGCTGAACTGAATACCTTTGGGGATAAGAGAAATATGAGATATCCTTATCTTGACTTTCCAGAAACTTATAATACAGCTAAGGTGATAAGACTGAAAAATCACTATAACACAAGAAAGTATGTGATAGAGTCAAGCAAGAGTTGGAGAAATTGTAACAGGGTGGTCCCCAGGAAAGGGGGAGGTTCCAGGTTCCCTGCCCCGCCCAAATGGAGGGTGGAGCTGAGCAGGGAGAGGAGAAGCTGAAGAGGAGACTGAGGAAGGAAGGAAGCAGCATGGAGCCGGAAGGAGACCTGGAGGAGGCGCATGGAGCCTAGAAACACGTGAAGAAACTGCGCTTGTCTTTTGGTTGTGGACGGGGTGACACAGATGCGGGTGAGACCCGTGGGGAGGTGACCATGGCAGCTTTTATCTTCATGTTGATTTTGCTCTTTTCCATCCAGGCTCGTCTGATTGTATCGGAGCCTTTTCTGTGGGTCCCCACTGGAAGATGCCTTAGACTTGGGGCAGGCTTTGGGGCCTTGCTCTGGGCCAATCCCATTTGGATGGACTTTTACCCACGAGGGGACGGGTAACTTTGGGTGCTTGATTTAGAAACTAGATTCTTTGCCTTTCCTGTATTGTTTCCTAGTTGTATTAAAGTTCCTTCCCATTAAAGTCTCCTATGTTTTGTGTTGATGCAGTGAATGGCAGAACCCATTTAGAATAGGCAGGTTTGCGGGGTTTGGGCTGCCCCTCTACCTGCCCTGTAACAAAACGAGCCCCACAACAGAAGGCATTAGAAGCTGGATCAATTAGGAAATTCTTCAAAGCAAAACAGGATTTGCCTAGACTCTGGTTGGTCATGTGTTAGCAGGCAGACCTGGGCCCCCCAAACCTGCCTGCTCTAAATGGGTTCTGCCATCCCTTACAAAGACAAAACATACCCTCAGTGCCTAAGACCTTCAATAAAAACAAGAACTTAAAAGCAACAGAGAGAAGAGAAAGAATACAGTTAAAATGGGGAATATAATTCCCCATGAAACACCCAAAGTTACCCATGCCCTCGTGGGTAAATGCCCAGCCAAACGGGGTTGGCCCAAAGCATGGCCACTGTGACCCAAAAGCTTGCCACAAGTCTAAGGCCTGTTGGGGGGAACCATAAAGGGCAGGAGGGGCCAGGCGAGTCTGGAAGAAAACGAACAAAATCAAAATACAAGTCAAGATAAAGGGTGCCATTGTCAGCCTCCCCACGGGGCTCTCACCCACATCTCTTTCAAGTGTCTCCTTCCATGTCCCCCAAGTCCCCGGTACAAGCTCAGGGCCAAGAAGCCAACGCAGCTACTTCTTCACATGTCTCTGCTTCACGTGCCTCCTCTTGGTCTCCCAGTTTCTTCCCTTCCCTCGCAGCTGGGCTCCACCTTTCCTTGGGTGGGGCAGGGAACCTTCCTTTTCTATGGGGATTACACTGTTACAATGTCAGGGATATGTGTAAAGGCGGGATTGGGCAGGTGGGTACTTGAGGTTTGGGGACTCTGAGATTTGGGCTGCAGTTATGTAGATGTGAAAGGTTCCCGCCTCGGGGAAAGTCCTGGGCAGGGGGCTGGGCTGGGCTGGGAGGAACGGAGTAGGTGGAGTTGTGGTCTGCTGGAAAATCAGTAGGAAACCACCCAGGGTGCTAAGGACAGGGAGGTTCCATAATTAAAATAGCTTGTGGGGAAATCAGCTGGGTACAATGTGCTGAGACTATGTGCAGAAAACTGGGAACAGGGAGAGATAAGAGGTTCCCAGACCGGCCAGAGGAGGGAAGGTCTGCCCCTGAAGACGGTTTGGGCAGGGGTCAAAGCAGGAGAGGGAGAAACGAGCGACACCCCGACTCTGGGCCTGCTGGGCTGGGGAGCGAGAACTGCTTCAGCGCGCGTGGAGAGATGTTAGGGCTGCAGGACTGATAGTTAACACATTTCCCATGGAAAAGAGAAATACTTTCAAACCTTGGACGATCTGGGTGGAGACAATGACTGAAGAGTTCAGGTGCGCCAACTGCTGATGCGGCTGTCCACACACAGCTGAGGTTGTCCATGCACCCTTGGTGTTGATGGAGAAGGCTGCTGAGACTCTGTGTCCCTCACTACCTAGGGGCCAGAGACCCTCTCAGGAAATCATGCTGAGAAGTTTCACAGTTGAGTTGGACACTTGGACATCCAGATCATTGCATCCTGTTCTCTGTAACTGCCTTTTAAAATGTGATCCCTCCCCCATCCTCCATTCCTATGGCCAGGGAGAGAAGCCCCATCCGGTTTCAGGGACAGCGTTTGGATGTGGTGTCCCCTGCACTCCTACGAGAAGAGTCAATCCTGTCAGGCTGACGGCGGGGGCCGGAGAAGGGCTGTCTATGACGAATGAACTCCTCTTGGGGACTATCTCTAGGCAGAAAGGGGTGTTCAGAGGAAGCCTTGCCCTGCATTTGCTGACTGTCAGGCACCTAGTTCAAAGCAATCAGCCTAACAAGCAGCACATTCTGTGTGGCCAGCCTTGAAACTCTACCACTACATTTTGGGGTGGCATATCCTGCCACCCCAGAGTTCTGTGCTTTGTGCGTGTGTGCATTTGCTAAGTACATTTTATACATTTGTCAGGCTGTGCTTCCTGAGTTATTTACTCCCTGCAGGGGCCTCTCAGCAGCGGTGCTGGTATTGGGCCTATGAGCCCCAGGCTGTGAAGCCACTAAACTGCCCTCCAGATGAACCCAGAGGTGGCGAAATCAAGCTCTGAACATACACAGGGCCCTCAATTCAACGTGGGCCCTGGACAGCAAAGAGGCAATGCACTCCTTTTTTGCTTAGGTCTTTTCTTTTGCATTCACGAAAGAGCCCTGACCAGTTCTTCTAAATACCAAACATGATAAGGCTCTAGCAGTGTTGGGATTGGAGAGGCAGCAGCCATAACCTGTGGTTTTCATTATTTCTACAAAAAACAAACACGCAACACAGGTGTAAATTCTATTTAATTCACTCCACTTTATTCTGGGACGTCTATGACAGATAACACACTCACAATCTTACCAGTGGACATTGAAAACTAAGGCCATTCTGTGAGTTATTTTTAAAACTTGGTGTTCTGCACATAATGATCTTTTAAAAAATAAATTACCAAAAGTAAGATTCTGTTTCAAAATAAAAATGTAAGGTAGGTACAAGACAATTTTAGGGCCATATCTAATCTGAAGCTCATCATGGGACAAGACCATTTTTGTTTTCTAGAGCACAAAAAAACAGCTAAGGCAACCGCTACCCCAGCTTCACGCACCTCTCCAGGTGGCTTCACAAAGCAGTGTGTCCCACGTGACCAGTGTTTATAAACCATTTTCTTCCTAGTGAAGAGGAGAAAGACTTTGACCTAGGAAATACATATTGGAGAAATCTTGGAACAAGAAAAAGAAAGGGACCAAAACTAAGGCACTGAAAGCACGTTATTTATATAAAGAAATGTAAACAATTTAACGCCAGCAGGCTCCCTCCATTAGCATCTTCACTGACATGTGCAGAAGTGTGGTGGCTGGGGCCAGAGCAGAAAGTCCGGGCGAAATCCACTGCAGAATCCAGCCCTGCCGGGGATCTGCGGAAAGATTCCATGTCCGTGGACAGCTGGTATTTCTCCTCTGTGTTGTGGCGGCGTGACAAGGCATGCTTCCATTCGTTCTCTGGGCTCTAACGTTATTTTCTTTAGTCTTTTGCCATATTCCTTAACTGCGGTTTATAATTACGTGGCTAGTTTCATCTCTGCTATCTGGCGGCAGAACTTGGCACCTCGTCAGCATCCTTGCTTGCAGGTGTGTATTGTAAGTAGTTTCAAGTCCCGTAGAAACCACACTTGCTTTATTTAAAACATTTCTGAATGGAAGAGACTCAACACTTGGAGATACAGCACGATCAATGTGTCAGTTCCCTCCGCTGCCCTGGGACTGCAGGGTCGCTGGGCAGGAAGAGGATCCAGATGAGACAGGATCGTCCCTGAGGTGGACACTATGTTAATTTCTACCTGGTATTTTGGTACCAATGCTAAATAGCTCTAAGATCCAAATTGTGTATTTCTTAAAAAAAAATTACAAGAAAAAGGCTTTAACAGAGACAAACGTTTAGGAAAACACCAGTTATTACAATCTTAAAAGAAGCCTTCTTGCAAAAAGAGAAACAAAATCCCCCATATGTAATTTTTTTATTTTGGAAGTTATTTCTAGTTCGTAAAAGCAAATGCAAAGTTTATATCCCCCCAGTTTCAATGCTTATGAATTCTGGGTAGTCAAAATTTGTACCTTATTTTATTTTTTATGATCAAAACTTTTTTTTTTTTTTTTCAAGATCTCTTGTTAAAAGGGTTCAGAGAGGTAAGAGATGTCCTCCCACGGAAGCTATCCCTGGAACCATGAGCTCCACGACGGACACCTGTGGTAGAACCTTTGCTTCTTCCCAGGGCAAATGCCATCCTGATTGTTACACTATTTTGTTTCCAAATAGAATCAAAGGAAATCTGGGCGAAACCTAAACTACAAACTTTTTATTAAGAAAAAAAAAAAGTTAAAAAAAAACCCCAAACAACCTTAAAAACTGTGAAGTTACACAGCTGGGTTTGGAGTAGATGCTTATTAACTAATTAGTAGCTCCGGGCAGGATTAAAGTCAGCCTTGGGGGAGCAGTTAAATACAGGGTGGTGCCATTCGGCAGAGACGCTCACTCCGTACTCCTGCAATAAAAAGGATGCTTCGTGGACAGTGTCCTGCAGCAACCATTCTGGAAGAAGCTTCGCTTGTCCAGCTTCCTGTGCTTACCTTCCAGAGCTGAGGCTTGTCAGGTAAGTCACTGGACGGGCAAAACGAAATGAGTCGGGATGGGATTTGGGAGCAGGAGTTCTTGCTGAGAGCAGACAGGACTCGGTAAACAGCGTTTGAGGGTGGTTTGAGGCCATTGGGAAGCTGAAAGGTTTGTGAACAGCTAGAGACTTGAATTACCTCCCACTTTCTGCTGATCTGCCCGGCATCCATAGCAGTGCCCAGCCGTGGGGGTGGAAACAGTGACCACATGGTTCTTTTGCCTGAGGAGACTGGTGCTGTCGGTTTGCTGGATTTTCCATAGACTCCGATTGACAAATATTTTGGAGAACAATTGGTCATAAGTAGATTTAAATTTTACTGTTGAAAAGAGGAAGCCTTAGTATAAAAGAGAGATATTCCGCTATCATTGATGGATTTACGTTTGTGTGATTGTTTTGGGGTCAGAGTAAAATCTGCCACGGCTTTGGGGGTTGAATAATTTAGGGTGAACCATTTCTGCCTTGTCTGCAAACTGTTGTTGTAATGGCGGAAGTTAGATGCCCACGCACACGGACAAGAGACAGTAACTTCCCTTTCCGGGCAGGTTTTAAAGACACACCTTCGAAAGAGAGTTTCTGACCCCAGGAACAGAATGTTCTTCTGCGCGCCCCTTTAAGAAGGTAAGTGACTTGGTTTATGCCATTTTTAGGGCAGAAAAAGCTACACCTGCCAACGCACTGCGCTGAACCAGTACTCAGCATGCAAGAGTGAGTCTAAGAGCTAAATTGTCTTAATTGCTATCTTAAAAAATTCGAGTTAAGGTTTGAAGTGGAGAGCCTGCGGTTGCTCCCTGAGGCGCGTCCAGGTCTGATTTTTCCATGTGAAAAAAGGGCATGGGTGGTTTCCGACATCTGGGTCGCTCGCGGGGCTGAGTGCAGAGACTTGGTGAATAGGGAAGGGCTTCCTATCAACATGGTTGATCATTTTAAGGGCAAGGAACTTGCGTTTTCTGGTCTGGGGGAAGATGCGATGGTTCGAGTGGTGCAGAAAGGAGTGTGGGGACCAGCCAGGCGAGGGGCAGGAGGAAGGGCTCCCACCTCTGGTCAGTACCAGCACTTGGCCCAGGCTAGTGCACATAAGCCCCAGGTCTGCCTGGGGAGTTTGTTAGGAAACAGGATCAGGCCTTAAGAAATCTGTGTGTACCTTGCCTGTTAACAGCCTGATGATTGTTTAATAATACTCTGGCCCGAGTTATTTTGCAGAGATTGCGCCCTGCTGCACAGTATTGAAATTACATTCAGAGATCTAAAAAAAAAAAAAAAAAAAAATTCGCCTGTGTAGCAATATTTTTCCACAAAACTAAGTGCAAAAAATCTTTAACAAATAATGATGGTAGAAATATTTGACATAGTCATGCACAAATGCATCTCCATTTACAAAAGCTTAGAACATTTCCAAAATATCCCCTAGGTCTTTACACAGTGAACCTTAAAATCTACTCATTTTTCTTTGCATTTAAATGTGGCTGTTTGTGGAAAAAACGGTAACATGCAAGTTCAATGAGCTCCAGTCCACCGAATATTCTCTCTTGTAGTGTGAAGATGACGATCATGATCATCACATACCACTGGACAAAACTGTAGAAATACATGAGTAGACACATTGCAGGGCTGAACAGGGTCCAGTAAAGTATAGACAGCAATTTGACCACAAGGACCCTGAACTCAGACTTGCAAGGTGGAATTGCACTGTGTCCAGCAAAGTGGAAATTCTTCTCCCCTTGGTAGAAGGTGCGCAGCCTCTCTTCTTTCTCTTCCCACCGCTTGTGGCACCAGAGCTGGAGCTCCTCCTTGGCTGTGGGGAGGGTGTCTATGGGGTAGCGGTGGATATGGAAGTGGATCTCCTTTGGGAAGTCCCCTTGGAGAAGGTGCTTCTCCGTCTGAGGAATGTTGTACGGGTAGGCCACGGTGATGTCATGGATGGCATCAAGGTTCTTACCTAGGTTTTAGAAAGGATAAAAATAGAAGCTGAGCAATGATCCATTTGGGCTGCGTGCTGATTCATCCTGCAGGGCAGAATCAAGAACACACACAAAACATCAGGACACAGTGAACCGTGAGGAAAAAACAAGGGCTATAAATACTGGTGTTCCTGGGACTTAGGTCAATATTTGCCAGTCATTTTCAGTGTTTTATCTGCTTGCTAATTACCACAAAGAACTTGAGGAAGAAATTATCCTCATTCGCAAAAACAGTAACCGAATATTCTAGAACTAGAAGGATGAGCACATCAAATGGGATTTGAGATAGAAACAGCACAGGGCTAGCCCTGTAATGGCCCTTTACATGGGACTAATCCTTCACAGACAGCACTCACTGGCTTCCCGCCTCTTCTTAGTATATGCTTCTTCCCAAATAAAGACACAAACTTTCTCACTGTGAACCCAATATTGCCATGACGGCCGCTGGAAAGAAAAATCCAGGATCAGACTTGATAAGGTGGTCAGAAACCTAGAAATTCCTTGTGACTTCTCATTTTTAAAAATGTACTGACTTGAAGACCCTGACTGGTATAACATCATCCCCAACAATCTCAACATCAATTACTTTACAGTTGTTTCCAGGAAAATTGTGTGACAGATGCTGGGCACAGATGAAAACAAACATGGTCCCCAATCTCTCTCAATAGTTCACAGCAGAAACTGGGAGGCCTGGTACATTTCACTCTATTTACATTTTATCCTATAGTAGTAATAATAATAAAGATGTAAGGCAACTATCCCTGCCCCCAGCTCCCTAAGTTTTTTCTCTTTCCACCTAGGCTATTAGGTTGTACTCATAGTTAACATTTACAGGAAAATTTAAAAAATTTTGGGATTTACTTTTAAGGTGAGGACCAGGTTTCAAAACTGTCTATAAAATAATCATCCTTCAGAAAGACAAACAAAACTACCTGCAGCAACGTGAAATTGAAGAGTCCTTTAGGGGTACCACATATTGTTCAAATGCGAAGAGGCAGTTGGACTGAAAGGCACATGGAAGAAAGACTGAGTGGGCTGCATCTGCATGCCTAGGACTAGCCTGCACCTGCCTGCTCCAGAGGAGAGAGACGGGTCCAGAGGTTGGAAGCCCCGGGAAAGAGAGGTTTTAACAGAGGATCTGTACTGACCACTGAGAGAAGCGGCGGAGGGGGGGGGGGGGGGGGGGTCACCACTTCTGGTTTGCTGTAGCAGGATTTACCATGGGTGGTGGGTTTTCTGTTAAAACATGCAAAGATGACCAACTGCTCTTTCAACTGCTACACTGCGCGTGCTCATCCACGAAGGTGGTAACACCAGTTAATCCAGCAACTTTCCATCTAGTCAGCACGCATCATGACTGCTACTCTAGGAAAACCCACCCTCTCCTTGACTCTGTAAGGTGTATTTCCATGCACCCTCTCTCCACAGCCCTCAGAACCCACTTGCTTCTGCCCATCACCCTCAACCATTTTCCCTGTGCTGTTTGCCTTACCTTACCTCTAACTCTCCTTTCCACTTGCTCTCACACTGGAGGAAACAAGATGTTTTTCACTTTGTCACTTGTCACGCCACTTAGCCGTTGAGTCAGAACTGAGTTCACATTTCCTTTACCTTCACAACTCCTCGCAGTCAACATCCTGCTCCCACTTCTGCCTACCCCCTGCTCCCACTTCTGCCCACCCCCTGCTCCCACTTCTGCCCACCCCCTGCTCCGTCAGGGTTACTGTTCCCATCCGCATCACCTGTCCAGTCTTCTCCTTATGTGCTCCCCTGTCCCCCCACTCAGCCTTTGTATACCACTTCTCACAGCAGCTCTTAGAGAGCTCCTTCTATGCCCCAATCTTCTGTAGATGTTTGTAGTGCTTACTGAGCAAATACAGTCATGTATTACAAATGGGCATCAAAATGGCAAGAAGTTTCTTAGTAGCATCTTAAGAAATAAAACTTGTTTTTCGCTTTTAACTACCTGTGGGGTAAGAAGTGTGTGCGTGTGTGTACACGTGTGCACACTCACACATGCATGTCTCTCTAGTGTTAAATAGCAAATTTTGAGAGTGTAATGGGACCACTTACAGGAATGTTTCTAAGGGAACATTCTAGATTCACGGCAGAGTTACACAGAAGGTTCATGGAAGCAGAGTGCAGCGCTCGACCTCTGGCTGAGAGAACCACTTAGCTCTCTGTGGCTCGTTTAGTTCCAATATCCACAAACTCCCTCATAGGGTTGCTGTGAGGATTAAATGACGTTATATATGTAAGAATGCATAACCCAGAATCTGCTCCATAGTAAGTGCTCGGTAAATGTTGGCTGCCACAGCTATTATTTATAAATCCTGATGTTAGCATGTTGCCTCTGACCTGTATCATTAGTCCACTAACGTCAGCACAGCATTTGTGGGGAAAAATGCATTTGAATACCCCACCTTTTTTTTATTAGTTTATTTTCTTACATCATTAATTTTGGCCAGTATTTGATTTCTCCCCTCAGGTGTAGTTCCCATAGTTCTCTCATCACCGTAGCCCCCGCGGTCCATCACCACAGTCCCTGGTGCTCGTCCCTTCCCTGCGTTTGCCTCGTTCTATGGTCAGCTTGCAAGTTTTGTCTTTTTCCTGACCCTTTGTTGGGTTTCTCTATATTCCACATAAGAGAAATCTTTCCATATTTATCATTTCCACTACATGATTTGCCGGGGCCTTGAAAACTCCAACCAGGAACCACCTGATTTAAACTTTCTATTCAAAACAAACGTTCAAACTACTGTTTCACAAAAATGCCAAAAACATTTCCTCTGCCTCAAATATAAAGCCTTTCTCTGAAATACTTTATCTCAAGTCTCTAAGTCAGCTACAATCCAAAGGGCTCTAGAAAAGTTCAAGTATCCAAACCCAGAGAGGTCGTGCCCTCCAGGAACACTCAGCGCATGTGCTGGTGGTGTGCTGTCTGGACACACCTGCCACCCTGTGCTCTATCACTAGATGCTGTATCCTAGAAGCTCAAGGGAACCCACATCTCCTGGGAAACTATAAGTACTTTACAGGCAAGAATATCTTTGCTTCTTTAGAACCTTAGTACCAAGCAGAGTGCCTGCACTTAACAACAAAGTTCCTGAAATGCTTATTAGAAATGCAGCATTTCATGGTCTATTATCCTTTCATCTGGAAATATGGAAAAGAATTATGCTTTCTACACGAGGCTGTTATAACAGTTTAATGAGCTAATGTAATAAATATAAAGCTCTTTTCATAGTTTGGCACATAGAAAGTTCTTAAGGGCCTCCCCGGTGGCGCAGCGGTTGAGTGCTGGGTTGCGAAGTTGGCCGCAGCCTCTGCAGCGCCAGTTCGATCCCCGGCTGCTCCCCGGCCACCGGAGGAGGGTCCCACATGGCGTGCAGACCTCTCCTGCCGCCCGCTGCTCCCCTCAGCAGTGTACTTCGGTCCTTCTGCCTGCTCTGCTCCCTGCTCTGGCTCTGGTGAATTCTCTCACCCTTCCACGCTTCTGACTGTACCCAGTGCTTGTATAAATAAATAAATCTTAAAAAAAAAAAAAAAAAAAGAAAGTTCTTAAATGTCAGCATCTACTAAAACCTCTATAGTACAACTTCTATGACTTGCTCCACGGGACTTTTGTCAACTTGGATTCTATGAATTCTTGGTTTTGAAAGAATGACACCAATGTCATTGGTGGTGAGGTGGAGAGTGGGACCACCTTACAAAAATGTAATATTCCAAAAGCTTATTTTGTTTCTGTTTTACTTGTTTACAACTTTGTAATAACTTTTAACTCAATATACATAAAATACTATGTATTTATATGATATAAAACAAGAGCAAAATTATAACTTAGAAACTAGGGAGATCTGGGCGAGGGGAGAAGAAAGTTAGGGTACACCTGTTCATTTCCCTGAACTCCCCTTAAACATCAGAGACTCAGAGGGGTTCACTCCAGAGCAAGAGAGGAAGTGGAGGGCTTTTACATGAGGGGGGTCAGCCAACTATCTCACGAATTTGTAAACCTTGTACTAAGTCAAGGTCTCCAGACAACATAAAGCCACACATAACTTTTCTCTACTAGTAGAAGAGCTTATTTCTCACATGCTGCTAGCAAGACCTCTAGCCATAACACCCAGATTATTCAGATTCCTCCTGGAAGGTCAGGCACGAGATTAGCGTGCCTTGCACAGCTTGGTTCATATGTAAGTGACAACGACGAAATATTCAAAAGATGTGCCTTTATTTCCTTTACCAATTTTAAACAGGACTAAAAAAGAGTAAGAAAAGTTCTTGAAATTACAAAGGAATGGAATCTTTTGATCTTTTGGTATGAAAGCAGTACACTTTTAAATATGCAAATTAAGACATCAGTAAAAGTCATCTTTCAAAGGTTTAATTGCATCTTAGATAATGAATCTGTTGTGTTTCTGACACTGTAGCTACTAGAAAGTTTTATACTTTAATATTATTTTGTGCAGTTAGTCACCATTCCGTTAGAATAACCATGATCACTTCGGCCCATGCCTTCCCCCACCCCCCTTAGCCCAAGGAGAGGCGAAACCCTTGCATAATATTTCAAAGTTTAATTTTTAGTCTCAGAAGGAGATTCAGGGAATTTTGAATACTTTAGTCAAGTTTAAGGAACCAACAAAGGCTTAAAAGATATGACTGGAACCTACAAATATAATACGCAGATGGGGTATCTCCAAGCATATCAACTAGAGCCTGTGACTGTTAGAAGATCCCTACCCAAATCTTTATATATTTGTATGGTTAAAATGAGGTGACAGCTTTTGTCTCAAAGGATGTTACAGAGAAGCAATCCCAGTTTGCCGTGGTTGCAAAGGATCTGATCTCATACAGTTTAGTGGCAAAATATAAGCTGCTTTTTTATCCAAAGTGATCTTAAAAGAGTCGATAACAAAATTTTCTTTTCTTTCCTGATTTCACAAGTGTATGCAGAATATACACAAATATAATTTGTTTT